TCCGCCCATCCATAGGATAAGTCATTGAATCCCCCACACCAAATCCTTCTCCAACACCATTCAAAGGCTCCTGCGGTGAGGTTCTGCCCGCGTACTCGTGTCGAGTCTGTTTTGCATGTGGCTCGCGTATTAGCTGAAAAATGGTTCGTTCGTCGACATCGATACTGATGAGATGCTGTGCATTCATGTGAAAAAATTGTGCTTCGATTTGCAGAGCTTGGCTCAAGTTGTCTGGGTATAAGTCTTCCACTGACTCTAAAGTAGTCTTGATAGTTTCCTCAAATGGAACTGGTTGCACAAAGCTGGAGAAAGTCTCCTGACGTCCATCTGTGTTGTTCTGTTCCTGAGCAACCAATCGTTGGATACCAGCACGGTACTCAGCTTCATGAACCCACCCCATCACCTGTGATTGACGTGGGTCCGCAGACATTGATACCAAGACTTCCGGAGGAAAAGGGTTGACTTCAGGGTCCGTTATTCCCATACGCTTTTTCCTGCGGTTTGTCTCATCCGTCCAGAGTCCAGCCATGCTGTGCACCAGCTTTTCTTGGCTTGACACCGGCTGCTCCTTTTCGATGAAATCATGATGAAGCCTTCGCTCTTTGACTTGCTTTCGATTCAGGATGTCTTCGACGCAGATGTCCACTTCAAGGGAGCAGTGGCTAGCCCGGGGAAGGCTGTAATCATCCGTAATCAGCTCTGGCGGGATCGTTGCATCGTCCCAGTGATGTTCAGTCTCGCGGCCTTCGATGTTACTGTCATGCTTCGGTACAGGTGCTCGAAAGGTGGCCATCGCCGCATCCAGGTAGTTACAGCCGTACAGGTTGTAATCAGCCATGAACTGAAGGAGATACTGCAGATGGGCCTCGTAGGGTTGAAATTTCCGACTCATAATAACACCTTGCTGAAGGAGATCGACGAGACGCGACATGACCACCGGGTTGAACAGGTAAATTTTGAGATAGAAGCGATAACCCACATGGAAGCCGTAAAAGGGTACACCTTTTGTCAGCGTAATCCGTGCTACATATATGGGCCGATCGCGAATGGGATCTTTCCGGTAGCTGATAGCTAACGCATGATCTATGGATGCACGGAATTTTGCGATATATTCGTAGGCTAAAATTATGTGAGCAAGGGAACGTATGCGCGAACCATGTGTGTAGAAACAAGGAAACACTCACCCTTGTTGGGTTCTAGATTTCCGTCATACTCGACATACAGATAGGGAAAGGCACCATGAATATGAGCGCAGACTTTCTGGCCCTTGTCGGTCAATCCGAACACCCGAATTACAGGAACTTTGGCAGCCTTCCGCGAACGCGAAAAGCGCACATCTTGGTCAAACTGGGGATCATGTCCGGTTGGCGTGGCTTGGTAGTGATCAATACAGTTCAATCGAAGTCGTAAAAATTCCATGATGTTGGCCGCTGGAGGTGCCAGATTTTCATTGTTAGGTTTCCGGAGCAGTATGACGGGAAGCTATCCAGCTGCCCGATGAAGCGACGTTCATTCCTTAGAGACACGCTTTTCGGGTTGTTTGGTTGAGGATGGCATGCGCGCCACGAAAGTCGTCGAGCGCGCGCGACTGTACTAGTGACGCCAAAGCACGTGATGCGACGCTGGCTCAAATCGGCTTGTTCCAGTCAAAGCTGTCTTTTATTGAGCAGCCGTCCTGTCGATGGACGTGTATTTTGTGTGATTCGAGACGATCGATAACGCCTTGACTACCGGATACACTGAGCGCCTTTTGATAATGAAACCGAAATCAAGATCATGATGCGGAACAGAATATCATCGAAGTGAGCAGGTACCGTAGATTGCGGGTTAGGGGTGAAGATGACAAATTGACGGACAGCTGGGTTCAGGGTAAAAGAGCACAAAGGTGCACTGGCTGCTGACCTCCCTTGACCGGTCGCATGCCTGCCGCAGAACTCTCGTCCAACCACGACGACCTTTGAGTAAAGCAACTGGAACTTGCCCCGAGTCTCGGATCCAACAACTTTTCTCTCGACACACAGACTATCAAGTTATCTTGTCATCCAGTACATTTTTTCAAGGCCTTTGGATCACATCTCTTGAACACCAAGGTAACCATGCCTCCCCCACCACCAAATAGGCGCGAGCAGGCCACAGCTGCCCCAAGCTCAACCGACAAGTCGGAGACCGGCGCTGGCGCCGCCCGCAAGGAGGACAACATCTACATCCCGTCATACATCAGCAAACAGCCCTTTTATGTCAGTGGTCTGGATAATGAAGAAGGTGACTCTCTTCTTCATCAGCGTGCGCGGCAGCAGGAGGAAGACAAAGCCGCCCAAGCCGCCGCACTTCTCGCCCGGGGTAAGAAGGCCGGTCCGGCAAGGACGAAATGGGTCAAGGGCGCGTGCGAGAATTGTGGCGCCATGGGCCACAAGAAGAAAGACTGTCTCGAACGGCCGCGCAAATTCGGCGCCAAAGCGACGGGCAAGGATATCCAGGCGGACCGGATCGTGCGCGACGTGAAGTTGGGGTACGAGGCCAAGCGAGATGTTTACAGCGCGTATGATCCAAAACAGTACATGGAGGTGGTGGAGGAGTATAACATGCTGGAGGAGGCTCGACGGGCATTACAGGGAGACCAGAAGACGCCGGATGGGGAGGGAGGAGATGGTCCCGAAGACGACAAGTCAGGGTTTAAGTACGACGAGGAATCTGATATGGGACGCGATCGTGCCACAACTAAACAATCTATGCGTATTCGCGAGGACACGGCGAAGTACCTTCTGAACTTGGACTCGGATTCCGCCAAGTACAACCCCAAGAAGCGCGCCCTCGTCGACGCCGGTGCTATAGCCGACAAGTCCGCCGCCTTATTCGCCGAGGAAAGTTTCCTCCGTGCTTCTGGCGAGGCAGCGGAATTCGAAAAGGCCCAGCGTTATGCATGGGAGGCACAGGAGCGATCGGGCGATACCAGCCTGCATTTACAAGCCAACCCGACCGCTGGTGAGATCCTACGCAAGAAGGAGTCTGAGGAACGCGAGGCCAAGCGGAGGAAGAGAGCGGAAGAGTTGGCGAACCAATATGGCACACAGCCCGTCATCTCAGACGCACTTCGGGAAACCATCAAGGAAAGCGAGACCTTTGTGGAGTATGACGAGGCCGGCCTGATTAAGGGGGCACCGAAGAAGGTCGGCAAGTCGAAGTATCTCGAGGACGTGTACATCAACAATCACACGTCTGTTTGGGGCAGTTGGTGGTCAGACTTCAAATGGGGCTACGCTTGCTGTCATTCATTTGTTAAGAACAGTTACTGCACAGGAGAGGCAGGTATAGCTGCAAGCGAGAAGGCGGATGCTTGGGACAAGTAAACAGCATGTCCAACAGTTTTTGATGTTAAACATGATACCACAGTACCTCAACTTGAGAGTGCCCAACCGACCATACTTTATACACCCCTGGAGTAGCTTGCGGAACTAAAACATAACGTAGAGAGATCCAGAGACATGAAAGCAATTTACTCGAGTACATCGGCTGACACATCCAAGACGGGGCACTTGAGAAGCTTCACAAAAACAAAGTCTGGCGGTTCTGAGCATGCAACAAGAAGATGGTGTATATTTGAGACTTGAAAGGTGGTGCCTTCAGATCCGGAGGTTTCTTAGCTTCCAGGCACATATTTCAGTGCCAACCGTGCATGCATTTTGATCCCTGACTACATGGACACCGTGATCATGATGTAAGTTAAGGCAAAATGAACCTTCCAAGACCTGTGTTCCTACTAGCCGATGCTATGCACCTGAAACCCAGCCCACCAAGATAGGCGCCTCAAATTTACTCCTCATCCTCCTCCTCAGCGGCCTCACCGCCCTCAGCGGCCTTGGCCTTCTTTCTGCGGACACGGCCGGGGCGACCGCCACCGAAGGGAGAGGTGAGGGCGAAGTCGATGTGCTTCTGAGAGTCGAGACGGACAACGAAAGAGGGAACGTTGACGATCTGCTTGCCGACGCGGATGTGGCGCTGGCGAATGAGGACACGAGCGTGGTGGATGGACTTGGCGAGGCCGAGCTTGTAGACGCAGGTCTGGAGACGACGCTCAAGGAAATCCTCAGCCTTGAGGGCAAGGACGTAATCGAGCTTCATGCGGGACTCGTCAAGGACACCAACGCGAACGAGACGACGAATGAGGGCATTGCCTTCGAAAAGACGCTTGGGGTCCTTCTCGTCGAGGGTAAGAAGCTGACTGTGGCAGAAGTTAGTAATCGGGCGATTCCCTTGCATATCATTCCCTAGTGCCCAAGGCCCATTTCTGGGCCTGGTTTGGTGAACCACTGGATGGGGTACGAGAAAAACTTACCGGGCAGCACGACGAATCTTGGAAAGGGTCAAGAGCACACGCCAGACCTCACGCTTGTTGCGAAGACCGTACTCGCCAACGAGCTTCAACTCGGAGTCCCTGAGGTCCGAAAGTTAGTTGTATGATCACAATCGACATAAGCAGAGTCAAGCTCATGCTCAGTGGCCGGTGATTTGAGGCATGCGAGCGATCGCACGCGCAAAGAACATGGAGATGGTTGCTCCCGCTGCAATTGCTGTCGCTTCGCAGAGGCCGTCGAAAAGGAGTTCGGAATCAAACTTAGACGCACAAACGAGCGGCCTCGAAAGGGCGACGGGGGACCTTAGCGGTCTTCGAGTAAGAACGAGGCGCCATCTTGTTGTTGGGGGCTTTCTCAAAAGATCGTCGACTGGCAGCGAAAAGTTTCGAAAGTCGTTTTCTCAAAGTAAGAAAATCAAAGGGCCACTTGGAGGAGGGTTTGTGGTGGCCCGTGCGTCCAGCCTTGCCGGCAAAAATCCGCTTGCCCTAACGCTGGCAGGCTGGTGGTTGGCCCAAGCTTTGCCCACCTCGCTTAGTCATACAATGGGAAATCGAGACCTAGTTTTGCTTGCACACAAATTCGTCGTCCAAATTTGACGCCCGCAGCAACCACCGTCTTCAGCATCCCCATACACGCCGAATCGTCACGATGGGTCACGCCGCAGGTCTCCGTGCTGGTACGAGATACGCCTTCTCGCGGAACTTCCGCGAGAAGGGTATGATCCGCCTCTCGACCTACCTTAAGCAGTACAAGTATGTTGCGACAGCGACGAATTGGGGTAATTGGGACGTCATGGCTAACTTTTTGCTAGGGTTGGCGACATCGTCGACATCAAGGTCAACGGTGCTGTCCAGAAGGGGTAAGCGACGATTATTTCCACGCTTTTTATGTTTTGGGCCATTACGATTGCGACAAACACCGAGATGCAGAATATGTTGGGGTTCTGAAACATCGGAATCTCGAAAGAGGAGGGGCACATGCGAATGCGAACGACGAGGACTTTTTGCGAAAATACGGGCGAGCTATGAAACTGACGTTGGAAATCGATTAGTATGGCCCACAAGGTCTACCACGGCAAGACCGGTGTCATCTACAACGTCACCAAGTCCGCTGTCGGCATCATCATCTACAAGAAGGTGAAGCACCGCTACATCGAGAAGCGCATCAACGTCCGCATCGAGCACATCCAGCCTTCCCGCTCCCGCGACGATTTCCTTCGCCGCGTCAAGCAGAACGCCGAGCTCAAGAAGCAGGCCAAGGCTGAGGGCAAGCCCGTCCAGCTCAAGCGCCAGGCCCTTCTGCCCCGTGAGGCTCGCACCATCTCTGTTGTCGACAACAAGCCCGAGACCGTTGCCCCCGTCGCCTACGAGACCACTATCTAAAGTACTCTTGGGATAGGACTGGTGGTAGACCTGGCGTATTTGGTTTTTCTCTGCATGGGGTTCATCGCGTTCGACACGGATAGATATCCTGCATGGATTTTTTGGTCTGGGATGCGGGAGTGCTTATAGGAATCAAAAATACCAGTGGCATGACCATGACCAAAACCAAAACACACGAGAACCGGCTCGATGCGCCTCCTCCTGATCAGGTGTACGTGCTTTTGAGCCTCGAGCCAACTTGTGATCGGATGGACTACGCCAGACGAATTGCGTGGCCAGACGAGTCACAGAGGGACAAACAATTCGAGCCCTGTCTGGCTGTGCGGCCGCTCTGTTTCTCGACCTAGCATCTTGCGGTTGATAGGGATATGCAAATAGAGCAAACGTGACAAACCACTTCACCGGGCCAATCTCTGCTACCAGTACGTATTGTGAACATTTTAGCGCGCTCAGAAGGTCTTAAAATCCAAAGATGGGAGAGATGAGAGTGGAACGAGATGACTACAGCGTTCATACTGGGCTTCCGTTTCCGACCTGGACGCGGAGATGACATCCTTTGAGCCAACTGATGATTATATTTGAATTGTGGAATTTCGATACCCAACCAGGGCCATTTAGACATCCCCAGGCGCATCAACGCAACAGCCTTGCTACATTGAAAGTGTCCATGTTTTATGAAACCTGATAACGGAGCTTCAGTTATCTATCTGTTTGTTACTGATCGTTCCACTCTCAAGAATGTTCTCGGACTGTATACTATGATGATGATCATTTGGTTGGACAAAGGCAGCGGGCTGAGGCGGTCCATCACAGATCGATGACAGATTCACTGTGGGGTTTGAGGTTCATGTGGAATGTCGAGCAAGCTCGCTCCAGAATTCTGGGCTCCTGTCCTTGAATGCCTGCCGGAGCATCGTCAGGGATTTTGCCTGGTCTCGTTGTGGCTTTCTGACATTGACGAGGCGTTGGTGGCATGTGGCTCCAAAATCAAACACATTTGGCCAATTGGATATTGCGGGGAAGTGATAAGGCTCTCTCAGCATGTGGCTAAACTACTGTACTGGATCTCCTCCTGCCTATGTACTACTTACTGGTGTAAACCTAGTAGTACATAGGTAGGTAGGCAAAGTGTGCTTTCGTAAGTAGTGTAAGTACATACGTACCTTTAGGTACCTTTCTTGGACCCTTCCAAACCGGAAGTGGTTCGACACTCTTGCACACAACCAGACCGAGGATGCTGTCACCAACAGGAACAGGAATAGGAACCGACCATCTGATCCTTTGGCTCTGTCACTACTACTACGTAGTGTAGTTTCTAGTCAGTTTTTGGTTGTTTTCCTGGGCTTCTCTGGCCTGTCACATTCCCGGGCTACCGTTGAGTTTTGGTGTCCCGTCCGTGCCGTCCAGTGCAGGGTCGGAGTGAGTGGCCTTTTCCACACAGCTGCAGGCCATCCGTCATCTTTCAGTTCCTTCCACCTCAAACCCACCGCGCCCACTTCCGCTTCCGTTTCCTGTTTGTCTGAGAGCGCGCGTAACCCAACTAAACCTACGACTCATGACTTCGCCGTGCAACTGCGACTGCGAGCCCTGAGTTCGAGTCCGCATCGATGCCGCAATCGCAAACCATCTGCTCTGAGCTGCTGAGCAGGTAGCCAACCTGAGCGCGGTGGGCACACCGAACAGCGAGGAGTAGCGACCGCTGTCAGTCCTTCCTGTCTTGGCACATCTTGCATGACCGCATCTTGGACTCGAACACTGCAGTGGACAATCTCCCTTCGACGGAAAAAAATATACAACCATGAGTTGGACCGTCTTCTTGTTGATATACCTCTTCGGAGGCCTTACCTTTCTGCCATTGCTGGTGGCTTGCGCTCTACTTCATGCTCACCTTACGTTTCCTTACCGCCCAGATGCCGTCCAGCACCACGACCCAGAAGCCGACGACTTGATCCAGCCTGGTGACGATCTTGATGCGCTCAAGGCGGAGCAGAAGAAGGATGGAAAGCCCCGGGTGACCCATCACGACGATGGTGTCGCTTCTGGATATTTTGCAGTTTGCCGCGAGTATACGCCCATGGGAATCAACGCGAAGCCTATCGAGCGGTCGACACCTGTCGGCTCCACCACCGTCGCCGCTCCCAGTCCCAGTGTCTACCAGACAATGTATCGGAGTATCTTCGATCGCAAGTCCGCCGGTCCCAGTCCTATTGACCACAAGAACGGTCCTAGTCAGCGCCCTAAGAAGGCCGGCAATGTCTTTTATGTTGTCCTGAGGTGCGTGACATTATCCTTTTGACTCTCAATACGACCTGGATTCTGACGCTCGTGACAGACACGGCCATCTCATGCTCTTTGACGATGACGAACAACTCGAAGTACGGCACGTTGTGGCGCTGGCGCACCATGAAGTCAGCATATACTCTGGCGAGGAAGTTACTCCTGAGGGCGAGCTGTACATCAAGCGCAACGCCATACGTCTCTCGCGAAAGACAGATGGGCTGGAAATAGGACCGGATAGCCAGGTCTCGAAACCTTTCTACCTCTTTTCCGAAAATTGCTCTGCGAAGGAAGACTTCTACTTTGCTCTGCTACGAAATCAGGAACAGCAGGCCTTGGACACGGAAAGCGATATTCCGTCTCCTATCCAGTTTGAGGTCAAGAACATTATCAACTTGGTACAGAGACTGCACTCGTCAGAAGAACACATGCAAACACGTTGGCTCAACGCAATGATTGGGCGCGTCTTCTTGGGCATCTACAAGACCAAGGACATAGAGAACGCGATACGGGAGAAGCTTACAAAGAAGATCTCTCGAGTTAAAAGGCCGGCATTTCTATCCAACATTGCTATCAAAGGTATTGATACCGGAGAGTCGGCACCCTTTATCACAAATCCACGGCTACGGGATCTGACTGTTGAGGGTGAATGCTGCATAGAGGCAGATGTACGGTACACTGGCAACTTCCGCTTGGAGGTTGCGGCGACAGCCAGGATTGATCTAGGCGCGCGATTCAAAGCACGAGAGGTTAATCTTGTCCTTGCCGTGGTTGTACGGAAACTCGAAGGTCATATCTTATTCAAAATCAAGCCCCCACCCAGTAATCGCCTATGGTTCTCTTTCCAACAGGCACCAAAGATGGAGATGACAATCGAACCGATTGTCAGCTCAAGACAGATTACCTATACCGTTATTCTCCGCCAGATCGAGAAGCAAATCAAGGAGGTCATGGCTGAGACCCTTGTCTTACCCTTCTGGGATGATATGCCTTTTTTCAATACAGAGCACAAGAAGTGGAGAGGTGGTATTTTTCATGATGATACCGTCGTCTCAACCATGGATTTGGAAACAGCTGCGGCTCAAGAAGGCGATTTGGACGAGGTGGAGCGATTGGAGGGTACTCAAGACGTTCACGAACCCGATCTGCCGCACGTGGAAAAAAGCCACAGCATGCCTACTCTCGACAAGAAACCGTCAATTAGCCTTTTCGGACGGATGACAACGAAGGCGAAAGGGGACCCTATTTATTCTGCATCTACGACTTCATTGAGCACGAACAATCAAAACGAGCTCAAGACCGATACGAGGAGTGAAACTTGTATACCACCTCCGATTCGGGTGGTTTCAATCACTCATCCTCCGACGCCAACGGTTAGCACAGACGCCATTAATGCTGACGTCTTCAAACCATCCTCGTCACCACCGGACGAAAGCCTTGCTGCATCAGCGATGGCAACTTTGTCTGTCCAGGCGCATTCTCCATCACGACCACAGCCGCCTCACTCGCCCTTGAGGCCGTCCGTCATACCCAAGTTATCAGACCAGTCTTCCGGGTCCTCTTCCTCTGAAGCTGTGGATGCGGAAAAAGATTTGCAGGATTTTGATAAAAAGAACCAGGCAAGACGGAACACAGCCACATCCGCAGGCAGCCAGGAGGAAAGCAGGACGAGGTCTCCAGCTTCGTCGATAAGGGGGTCTGTGAAAAGTCAAACTGGGACCATCAAGGGTATTTTTGCCCGGCGAGATACTGTATCATCGACAGCAGGAGCACCCACGCCAAATCACCCAGACTCTGCGAAAAAGACTGCCTTGGCCGCCGCTTTCGTTACCAACGCGGCTGCATCTGCCAAGCGTTGGGGGCTCAATGCGTTCCAACGACACTCGAACAACGATGGGACACCGGGTAGGAGTGCTTCTTTCACCGATGATCATCCATCGGTGCTGGACTTGAATCAGCCTATGGGACGTGGGCAGCCGCTTCCGCCTCCAGGAACACCACTTCCGATGCCAGATAGAAGGTTGAAGGCAACATCCATCAGTATCCCAAGGCGCAAACCGATACCGCCTCCAGATCAATCACTGCAGCAACGTAAACCGAGCACGCCTGAAGACCATGATCACAAACCCGAACGCCGCCCTGTACCACCTCCCCCTCTCCCAAAACGTCGTCAATACCGAGCTGAGCAGCAACTTGACGATGACGGAAATAATGTGAACATGCTTGTAGTCGCGGCTCCTGCGGAGTCAGAACCGACTACACCTATGAGCGAGGTCCATGAAACATCACCAATGAAGCCTTCATCAGACACCGTTGAAAGCAAGAACCAAAGTGGAATTGGCAGTTCTGCGACAGAAGGGCCTGTCGGTTCGAAATCGCCCCCCAAGCCTTTGACGCCATCAATCCGTAATACGAAGACTACAGGCCAGGAAAATCACGAAGACGCGAAAGCGCTATCGCTTGAAGTTTCAGCGCCTAATAATGATGACGATGAGTTCTCGGCTTGGATGGATGACGCCGGCCCGGTGGAAGATACTGACGCAGCCCCGGCTCCTACAGTCAACGGCAGCGTTGGCGAGAGAGCATCGCCTTGATTGTGAGATAGACCGGTTGGTACCTTGCATAGGAGTTTATTTGAGTATAGGATTAATGCGGGCTTTGCTGGTGAAAATCACAGTACAGCGAGGAGAACCGGATATAATACTATAAATTTGTATTTTTTGTTTCATTATGCTAGAAAACAACATCCGGTCGCGCTGTCAGACGTTCAGTAACTATCATAGCACTTTAGGTGAACAAGTATCGATTCATATGTCACCGCTTGATGCCGCTTCCTGGGAAGGTGAACGGCGTGTTAGGTGACCCTGCTTTCGATTCTTGGCCTTCGACATACTGCCTGCCTATGCGCTCTTCATCTTGACCGTTGATGACGGGTAATAAGCCGCATTTTCCGTCGATGCCATAGTACAGGCATGATGGAAACATTACAAAGCACAAAGCAATGGTATTCAGCTTTCTTTTAGCCTGAAAGTTCGTCTACAAATCCGGCATGAGGCGAACGAACTACTTGAATGGCCTCCTGACATGCCTCGGCAACTCATGTCAAGAAATTTGCGACATCTTCAGGGATCATTCCTCTCTTCATATCGGATTTGGGTGGCAAACCATGTTTCGCTAACAGCATGTCGGATATGGTGAACAGTAGAGTGTGTTTTTTATGCTTAGCTTCCATTTTTTTCTTTCTTTTTTTAACATACGGATAACCCAAATCTTCACCAGAGCATCATTGCCGCGGGACCATATCTTTCGTCTCATTTTGGACATCCCCGACATCCCACGCATATTATCCTGGTGACAAACAGGATTCGACAAACATATGTCTGCGCTTTTGCCTGACATCATATGCGATAACCCAATTCGACCTTGTGTGGTAATGAGTGAGGAAAAATGTCGAAATGTAGATGCGGAAAGGAGGAGGGATTCACATGAATCATCCATAATCACCTCGAGGATGTCCCGATTGAGACGAGTTCGGAGTTTCTGAAAAGAGATTTTATGATCGCGGCTCAGATGGCATAAGCTCTACCTGAGAGTGATTCCAACCCGGGTACTGGGAGAGAGTAAGTAGGTTCGCAACGAAGTGCTTGTCGAGATTGAGGAGCCCACAGACACAAGTTGTTGAAGCATATCCAGGTGGGCCAAGGGAAACACGATGGAGACGATATTGTGTACAATCAGCTAACCGAACCCTCGATCAGCATCAACAGCTATGAAGCTCACCACCATAGTCATCTTCATGGGACTCTTGACCGGCCTCGTCGCCGCTCCCCGAACTCACGCCCTGTCCGCAACCCATATAGATGTCTGGCATCAATAGCCACGGCGATCTTGACTGTCCCTTGCGAGGCCAACTGTCCACACGGAGGGTGTAGCATCGAGTTCCGGACAAGTGTGCTGACTTACCGGGCAATTATCACCTCAACCATCTTGACCACCTCCTCCTGTCGCTGGCCGCCATGGCAAACCTGAATTTCAACCAATACAACCACCTCTTCGCCGCCGCCCAAGCCTACCAGCACGAGGACTACCGTGTGTAACGCAAGCACGAGCACATCGAGAACGTCAACGACATACACGCAAACCACGATCAGCTGGAATATCATCACCCTCCCGCCCAAGACCACCGGCAAGCCAGCTCCCCCGATGACGACGCCATGTCCCACGGTCACCAAGACGACCAGCCCAGCCGATTGCTCGCTGATTCGCTGTCCTACGCCGACGTGCGAGGTCCGGTCGACGCTGAACGTGCCGTGCGGATGTACCGCGAAGACGCTGCTGTACGTTCAGGGGTGTGCCACGACGTGTTCTGAGGGCTGCTCGACATGCACCGAGGCGGCCAGCATGACGGGGTGCTAGGTGCTAGGTGGTCTTGAAGGTCGTGGTTTAGACTAGGTAGGCTGCAAAGCTGGTCTGGGTTGGTTATGATTTGGTTTCTCGTCGTCTTCTTGTCATGCATGTATGTAGTGCAGTTATGCTGGAAGTTAGCTTTATCCGTAAATGTTCCAGTTTGTATCGTCGACATATTGATTCGATTTCGACCCTTTCAGACTTTGTGGAATGTTGCATGGATATCCGCTGTTAGATCGTGTGGTGTTTGGGGAACTGGACATGGGAATGCCAAGGCAGACGGCGGGGTCCATTTTGAGATGGGTACAGTAGGTCATGCTGGGGAAGCCCCGCCTTACCCCTAGATTTGGAGTCGTAGCTTACCGATAGCTGCCCTGACTCTCCCCAGTGACATGACGGGAATCCAGTCAAATTAACCTCTAAGAAGTCGCGAATGGGAGCTTGAATGAGAGCGGAACCGGGGACGCCAATAACAGGGGTGGAGGCAGGTCAAGTGGCCGGCGCCGTGTGTATCGGGCAACGCCGCTGTCCACGCCGGCAGCCAACGGCACCTGCCAAGAAAGACCTCGCGGTGACAAATGGAAGGAAGGAAAGTCGGAGTCACTAGCGTACCGAAGCTGAGGTGTTCATACATATCCCGTACATGATACCTTACACACCTCTCTTTTTGTATCTCTTTTCATCTCTTCCGCTCACCGGTTTCCACCGTTTCATCCATCTGCTCCAAAGTAAAGCATACGCAGCGATTTTATATACCACCAAGAGACTTTCCCTTGTTGTGCTGCAAGCACGTAGCCGTCACCGTCGTCCAATTCCACAAAGAGAAAGTGACAGCATAATACTCTTCCCATAGTTCTTCATAACTCGAGACTACCCATCTCTAGCCTCACCCGTCACTTCACATCTCAAAGATGACTACACGATACCGTGTTGAATGTGTGTTCTACCGCTCTTGCCCATCGCTGAGATCACCAGCAGCTAACCATTCTCTCTTGTAGATGCCCTCAAAACCCACAGACGGGATCAATTTATAGGTACAGCTTGAGCCCTTTCGCCGGTTTGTTGATGTACCTACGGACTGAGCTATGGCATCACTCCCCCCTAATTGCTGGATGTTCTTACCCGCCCGTTTGGCAGAGTCTACGGGTCAGCTTAACGATGGCTACCCCATTCACATCAGCAACTGTGGAGTTGCCTCCGTCGAGAAGAGGCATGTGAAAATGAAGTACTCTAGCTAACAATCATATCAGAGTGGATCAAGGCGCTCTTGGCCGTCCCATTCGTCCTCTACTCTCAGCCCCATGGTGTTCTTGAAGATCCCGACAGAAGTGTCGATACGCTTTCTCAGACAAGAGAGGAAGCCCACAGGCGATACAGTGAGATCTTCCGGGATATCGAAGCCATGATCGATGACCACAGTAAGCAGAGCAGATAATCCCGGCCTCACTCGGTTAGACCTATTTGATCTAGTAGCGTTTAATAACCGAACCATCAAACATCAGTTGCCCACCAAAACGATGCCGAGAACCCTTTCCCATCCAAGCTCAAGCTGCTGGTCCCCAGTATCGGGCCCTTCTTCACGCGGTTACCGCTCGAAGCGGCATTCAAGTTTCAGGACAACAAGCGCTACATTTCATCGCGCCGCTTTGTGTCGCCGTCCTTCAACGATATCCGCTTGATCCTTAACTCGGCCCAGATAATGGCTGTGACGACTTACGGAACTCTCCAGCTCGCTACCTTTGATGGTGACGTGACGCTCTACGACGATGGCCAGAGTCTGGAACCTACCAGTCCTGTGATTCCCCGACTACTAGGTTAGTGCAGTTGTTCTCAGTTCTCTTTGCCTGTTTTGCAATTCCTGCGTCTTACCTTCCGCCATGTAACCGTACCGTAACCACTTGATGTGCTCACATTATCCCCTTTCCCTCCACAGACCTTCTCCGCAAAAACGTCAAGATCGGCATTGTCACCGCAGCAGGCTACACTACCGCCGACCGCTACTACGCGCGCTTGCACGGTCTTCTTGATGCCATGGCCAACAGCGCCGACCTCACCCCTTCCCAAAAACAGTCTTTGGTCGTCATGGGCGGTGAAGCCAACTACCTCTTTGAGTTCGACTCGTCCTCGCCGCACCTTCTCGCCCCGGTGCCACGACAGCACTGGCTCACACCCGAGATGGCCGCCTGGAACGAGCAGGACATTGCCCAGCTGCTAGACGTGGCCGAGGCCGCGCTGCGCGATTGCATCAAGACGCTCAACCTGCCCGCCACGTTGATGCGGAAGGACCGCGCCGTCGGCATCATTCCCGTTTCTCCAGAAATCCGCATCCCGCGCGAGAGCTTGGAGGAGACGGTTTTGCTGGTGCAAAAGATCCTTGAGCTCAGTACCGTGGGCCGGAGCAGAAGAGTGCCGTTCTGCGCCTTCAATGGTGGGAGGGATGTGTTTGTTGATATTGGCGATAAGAGCTGGGGTGTTACTGTTTGTCAAAGGTGGTTCTCGCAGAAGGAGGGTCCTCATGGAGTTATTAAGGGGGAGAATACCCTGCATGTGGGCGATCAGTTCTTGAGTGCCGGGGCGAACGATTTCAGGGCCAGGAGCGTGGGGACTACGGCGTGGATTGCGAGTCCCGTGGAAACGGTCGAACTGTTGGATGAGTTGGCGGAGTTAATGGGGAAGAAGATGTCTTGATCGAGGTTGTCAGTCTCATGGTTGCGGCGGCGGACGGTGATTGATAATGGTGACGGTAGGGTTTATAATGATAATGGGAACAACAAGAGCATCTCTTGTGGCGATTTTTTGGGGGGTGACAATCGATGGAGCAAAGCGGGGGCCAATGGAGGCATCGAGCACCTACGACGGCACAATTCTTCAACGATAATGAATTTTATGGGTACACCTAATTCTGGAGGCCCTTTTGACACGTAGTGAGACCTTTGAAAAAGACATGATACGATCGGTAATAGCGATCAGCTACGGTAATCTGACGAAGACATACGTAAGGGTCTTTTCATGAGACGATAATACACTAGGCTGTGTGTGATCATGTCGTCTCTAGGGGGGGGGGGCTTATGTACTCAACAAGTTCGCCTAAGCAACCAGCAATCTTCGGAGAGACAGAGAGAGAGTCCAGTCAACGTCGGTAGTACTTGGATCCCAACAACCTAACGGGTACAATTATGATGCCAATGAATGCGGGCTATACTGTACACCTTTCTGCTCCAGACATGGCAAAACGATCAGTGCTTGCTTTAAACTCTGGTGATCCCATCGTTTCATCACGGCAACAATCTTCATAGCAGGAGTTTGTTTCTATTCCGTCCAGATTTATATGAGTGTTTGCCTGTAGCATGGCAACTGTCCTCACAGTCCCTTTCATACTTGGGCGACTTTTCGTCTCGTGTAGTGTAGGAGACACCGTCCTCGCCATCCTGCCACCTGCCACCTGCCTACTGTCGTCAGTCGGCAGAGCCTGATCCATCATGCTGTCAGACTGTTGTCGTCAATCAATCCCCCCTCGAGGCCCCCCTCAGGGAGGTTACAGTCCGATCAGCTTACCAGCCTCTCTCGGACCAGTCCAATCGGCCCGAGCCGAGAGAAGGCGGATCCAGTGCTGCAAAAAAGCTTCCATTGGACGTATTCAGCCCCACTTGGATGTTTCTTTCCTTTTTCTTCTGCAGTCTGCTTCTCCTGAAAGCTTTCTCATTCCAGAAATCCAGAAACTCCACACACGAAGTAGTGTACTTGTTTGTTGTTGTGGGCTGTGGGCTGTCCAACTCTGCTTCGCTTCGATGCTTACCTATGATTTGATCATTACTTACACTGTACAAATTATTCGAGTTGCTCTCTATTAGGTCTATTGATATCCTTTGATTGGCCTCACGCTGGCCTAGCGAGTGAGGGAAAGTTTTGGACACCATACTAGACGTAAGCAAGAAAAGGGCGTGGTACATACGGCGGCGCTTCCTCGGTGGGTGTAAGTGAAGTAAAGCCATCAAACTGCCTGCCAATGCTGCCTCGTCCCCGCCTCGTTTCATATCCTGCCTTCTGATGCACGGCTGGTATCAATCTTCCCATTTCTCATGCTCCCCTATTATGTACCATTCTATAATGCCCGAATCGATCGAGGCTTTCTTTGTACGGAGTTCAATCCCCCTCATTGATGCAAAAATTACGGATTGCCAGTCTATCATTGTTCTGTTCCTCATATGCATCATGTTGCATGTGTGTATCCAAATAGGAGAAAGTAAATCAAATGAACTCGTTTCGTCCAACGACGTCAAGGGGGTATAATGATATGGGCAAGTCCCGGTGTAGACACCTCCAACGCCATGTAAGCAAAAACACCCACAAAAGAATACCAAAAGAAACCAAAACGCACAGGATACCCAACGGTACTGTGTGTAGATAGATACAGGAAGAAATGTTGCCAAGTGGCGAGTTGGTGGTCACAAGTCCGACCAACTGTAATGGATGTCAGTCCTCAAAATTTGAACTCGCCAAAGGGAGCGCCAAAGTTGTTGTTACGCCTCAACTTGAGAGGGATATCCAATTCCGCTTCATCCTCGCTCTTAGAGCCGCTGTTGTTCTCTTTCCCTTTGCTCGATTCGCCAGACTGATTCTCCGCCGCGTTCGACGGCACCGCCTCGTCATCATCATCAATAGCATCCCTCAGAACAGAAGGAAGGGCTGCCATAGTGTCCTTACTGACCTCTTCGAGCTTATCGGAAAGCCTACGGAAGAAGATCTCGTCATGGGCAGGCATGTTCCTAACCATCAGCGGACCTCTGAGAGGACGATCCTCCACAGGCTCATAAGCCGCAGGAGGATCTTCAGAGACTACCGACTCCTGCTCAGCCAGTTGAATAGCGCCTTCTTGTTCGTTTATGACCCCAAGCGTCTGAGTGGCCATATTGTCGCCGTGCTGCAAGGTGGGTGTGCTGCTACCACTGCTATTGATGGTGCCAACTCCAGAAGACGTTGCGGTTGCCAGGACAGAGAGGGAGTGGCTGGGAGTATGGCCAGCATGCATGGTGAGACGAACCGACGCTTCTGCCTTAAGGACTTGCTTGGTTTGCTCCTTTGCCGGGCTTTCCGATCTGGGCTCTGGCACATCGGAGGCCGGGAGTGGTGATGGAATCTTGGTCGGGGACTTGAGCGCTTCTACTACGGAATCGTCTGTGAATGTCGATTTCTGAACCGAGTTGGCTTTAATTGGGATTCCTTCGAGCTCTGGGTGAATTGCCTGGACATCGACAATAGGCGCGGGACTGCTTGGACGCAGCTCGGGAGACTGGGCCATGGAATCGGCCACTACGGGACCCTGAGGTCCGGGAATTTCGTTGACAGAAGCAGTCTGAATGGGTTGTTCCGGTTGCTGAGTGTACGTATGTTGCGTGCTTCCTTGAGAAGACCGCGAGCTCCTCATGCTCTCGGGCGAAACCTCGCCCCAGCAGACGTTGCCAATCCTTCCATTTTGGGATGCATGAGCAGCCGCCAAGGCTGCAAGGTTCGCATTGCTGGACTGTCCTCCTAGATGAGCCACCTGTTGCTGGAGTCGTTCGATCTCCTGTAGCAGCATGGCCTTCTCGGCTTCCCATTCTGCCCTCTCCTCCTCCATGAGGGCCCGCTCCTCCTTATACACTTCTTCAGCGCGCTCCCTGTTTGCTTCCAAGTACTTGCGCTCCGCTTCCCAAGCTTCTCTTATCCTGCCATTTTGTTGGACTAGGCGCCGGACCATCTGTGTGTTCGAGGGTGCATTCACCGTGTCTGCCGAAGCTGAGCGGGCCTGTCCGGCAGAGACAGAGCTGATAGCCGGCACCGAAACACCTAAAAAGGCATCACCAGGGGAGGCACTCAAGCCATCCATTGATGTTGTTAGTGGCGGAGAGAGGATCGAGAGCTTGGCTTTTGTAGCCTGGCCGGTCTTGGATCTTCGCAGATTTGGAGGAACGCTGGTAGATCGTTGTGGGTCAAGCTGACACTGGAGTCCTTGTTGAATGGGTGCTAGGTTGGGTGACGTGAACTGCGACATGTGGCCGGCGACAGGACCACGAAAGTTGGGAGATAGTGGTGAGTAAACGTGGCGTCCCGAAAAAGAAAGCTTGGATGGCGCCTGCAAAGCGGGATTGCCCATGGCTGAGGCAACATCGAAGTAGCCGGCGGCACCTCGAGGCAACGCGAGGGGAGAGATGAGCGAAGAAGAGTCGGCGCCCAGACTAGGAAGAGGAAAGCGCATGCTGGTGTCGATAGAACCCGAAGGCAGGAACGAGTCGGAGCCCATCCTGGTCATGGTATAGGAAGACATGGTGGGAAGTGATGAGCTAGGTTGTTGAAGGGGTTCGAGCGAGGAGGAACAGCAAGGAAGACGGTTGCCAAGTAGGTATCCTGGCGCCCAAGGTTTGCGTGGTTCGTGGTCTTAGTGTATTGATGTCATCCGTCATGCCACACCGAGACCACCGCAGATTTTTTTCGACCTTTTCTTTGTACCCTGGTCCTGGCCAATGTATGTGGTGGACGGCTGTAAAATCAGGGGTCTAGCTGCAAAATGAAAACTTCTCTGCGTATGTCGTTGTAAGAGCTGTGGTGTAGGGGATGATCTTCGCCGGTGCTGGTTGCGGATAACGTTGGTAGATATGTTCGTTTGAGGACCGTGATCTTGCGGGAAACAAGGTAGGTAATGAATGGGTGCCTTGGAGGGTTTTGATGTTCTGCAGGTCCGAATGATCTCGTAGCGTAACCCAAGTCTGAGGGACTTTGAAGAGCGGATCCGAGGGGATGTTCCAAGTTCCACTTTGGCACCTTAGGCGCGGTACTGGGTGCGGTGTAAGATGGCAGCGATGGCTGTCGATGGGATGACAGTCTGCGAGAACGCTTTGGCTTGGACACGTAGATGGTAATGGCGGCCCGTATCAAGTTTCGACTGGAGATGGAGAGGGTAAGTCGGAGACAGGAAGGACGGAAAGCAACGAGACAGAAAATTGAAGGCAAGAGGGAGAGAGACCGAGACTTTGATGAAGAGGGTGAGGTGGTGCCGGTGGTATAATGGTGCCAGCTGGACGGGTGGAAGCAATACCCTAGGTAGGTGAGCATCCCTTGGTCGGCACCTGAACAGTGAATCCACGGTGTACCTCTGCGTACTGTGCCCTGCAGTGGGTTCAACTGGGAGTGCGCTATGGGCGCGTAACATTGGGCCCCTTTCCCTACCTATCCTTTCCACCCGGACGCTGGGCTTCCACTCACGTTCGCTGTGACGCAACCACGAACCCGCATAATGGCGGGCACGCCGGGGCCCATAGAGCCATACAAATGGGGCGGCCAATCAGAGTCTCTACAACAAGTCCAAGTGGGCCTGCAAGTGTGGCATCTGCGGCCCGCATTTTCCCCTTTTTAGTCGGCCATGAGCTTGCTTTTGTAGTGTACATTCCGCTACGAGAGGTACCCTCCATTAGGTCGTCCTTTGTTATTCCGTCGCCCGTGATGCCGAGTGCTGGTACCTGGGCCGTCTTGTCACTCACAACCTTTCCTTTCAACCTATCATACGTCTTTACTTTGTGATCGTGTCTGGTCTCGATGGTTGGGACGGAATTTGGAGGGCACGCGATCTCTAGCAGACGGCAACTCGCACAAGGATACATGGGCATCCACATGTAGATACCTATGTTTGACCGTCGCCCTTTTGGCCCTTTTTG